ACCTCCCTCCCTTGAAGGGGTTCTGAATTTCAACCAAACATTTAGGATGCAAAACGGGAACAAGACTAGCAAGATTTAGACTTGGAAACAGGCAAGTCAGATTCCTCCCAACACTCAGGCTATTCCATGCAGCAAGCAACCTAGCCTTAGTGGGGGCAATCTTGGGGAAAAGGGAATGTGAGACTTCTCACAATATACAGGAAGGACCTTCACAATCAAATAGCCTAACCACCTGAGTTTCCTGGGTCAGGTCCTATTACACATGGGTGTTTCACTTCTTGGCTGTGCTTAGCACACTCATCCCTGCTTTGGTTTTAGTTTTTAATCCCTTTTCTCTCCCGCAGTCTAGTACAGACCGACAGCCTCTTCTTTCTAAAAGAGCACGTCATATTTAAGAACTATGTCCCTTGTGTATAATAATATATTTATTCTTCTGTTCACATTTTGCATGAAAATCATACTTAAGACAGTTTTAATAAAGAAAAAACGTATAACATCTAGTTGATGACGCAGCAGAAATAGTGCCATCTTCTTTAAGTCTCTGTTCTGTTAATGGCCATGCTTGTAGAAGCTTCTCAGTGACCAACAGACAGTTCACTGCTATACTCCTTAGCACTGTAATAATGTCACTGTGAGCGCCATCCTGAGCACCATGTAATATCACTCTGAGCACCAATGTCACAGACTTGCATTAATTGTTGACAAATTGTCTCCTTAACTAGACTGTGAGGACCCTGAGGGCACTGTACTTTACTCGTCTTTTTTATTCTGTGTAGCTCAGAGCTTGGTGCTTATTGCACAGGCGGTACATTCTTGGAGGAAATAATCTCTTACTCAATTTGTATCAGGAGGAAATTGGGGAGCACAGATTGACAGGTTTAGGAATCCTTTGCACACATGAGCAGCTACTCAGACCCTGTGAACTGTATGTTCCCTACTTCCCTCCTGTCATATCACTTTTTTTTTTTTTTTTTTTTTTTTTTTTGCTTATTGCAACCTCTGTCTCCTGGATTTAAGTGATTCTCCAGCCTCAGCCTACCAAGTAGCTGGGATTACAGGCATAGACCGCCATGCCCAGCTAATTTTTGTGTTTTTAGTAGAGATGAGGTTTCACCATGTTGGCCAGGCTGATCTCAAACTCCTGACCTCAAGTGATCCACCTGCTCTGTCTCCCAAAGTGCTGGGATTACAGACATGAGCCACTATGTCTGGCACCTTACTAGGATTTAAAGGAAGCAAACTGATTCTGAGGGCTCCTACTGCTCTCCACCACATCTTCTCCTCCACACTGCTGACTCCCTGGGAGAGCAGATCCAAGAGTGGGCTATGATTAGGCAGAGTGTCCACCTTCCCCTAGATGACTCCAGGACCCAGGTTATTGTTTCTCATCTCCCTGCATAGCTCAGTCACCACCCAGACTCCAAAATCCCAGGCCACCCATCATCACCCTGGCTCCTTCTACCAACTGGCTGTGGATGCTCCCCAAGGCGACCGAGTCTGTGTCTCTTCACAAACACGTTCTCGGAGACTCATAGTCGGTCCTCAGCAATGCCTCCAGTATCCCTCAGCTACTTAGCTGTTAGAGAAAAACACACAACCCTCCTGACTGCTCTACTTTAATGTTATGACCGTAAATCGCAAATAGGTCTCAGGACTTCCCAGTGCCTCTACTGAACTTCCATACTATGTTTACTCTCTCACTCCGAAAGATGAATCTTTCACACCTTCTCTGCTGTACAAACTGCCATCATTTCCCATTCACATCTCACTCTTAGCTGTTGATCTCCCTTCATATTTCACTGAGGACATAAACATATCCTGAGGAGATCACTCTCCCTCCATCTCTACATGCCTCGGGGCTCACACACTTTGCTTTCATTGCCACTTCCCAGTGCTTCCCTTGGGCACTGAATCCCATCTCTTCTCTGGCCTATCCCATCAGTGTCTCTCTATTTCACCATTCCCATCAGAATGCAAATATCATGTCATATCCCCACTTCCCACCATTGAAAGCTCTCTCTACACCCCTCCAGCCACACCACATTTCCTAGCTCTACTGTCTAGCAAAACCTTTCACAAGAGTTGTCTATTTTCCCTGTTCCCACTATTTTCATTCTTTGTTCTTTCTAGAAAGTACACAGTCAGGCCTTTGGTTCCATCATGCCCCTGGAGCTGTGAGCCTCACAAAACTTCCTCCTACCTGTCACTAAGGACCTCCTTATGCCAAATCCATGTTGCCTCCCAGTCACCCTCTTCTAATCTGACCTTTCAGCTGTGTGTGCCACAGTTGATTACTCCTGCCTTGCAGGACATCACACTCTCCTGATTTTTCTTCTCCCTGGCTACTCCTTTGCAATCTTGTCTGCTGGTTGTTTCTCCTCTTTTTGCTGATCCCCAAGTATCAGAGTTTCCTGGAGGCTCTGTTCTTATCTTTCTTTCCTCTCTTTATCTTCTTTCTTGTCATTATCTCCATTCCTGTAGCTTTAAAGATGTTGATATATCCCAAGTTTATACCTGTAGCCGGCCTCCTTTCTAAGCTCCAAATCTATGTACAGTATCTAACTCCCTACTTAGCATGGCTACTTCTTTGTCTATTGAATGCTTCTCAGCACAGTGTATACAAAATATAGGCTCCTACTTCTCACTCCCTGCAGTCCCTGGTAACCCTGTAACTCTTAGTAAAATGCATTACTATTTACTCAGTTGTTCAGGCCCTAAACCTCCCTTTTTCTCACACCATTGTCCAAACTCATCAACTCTACCTTTAAAATAAGTGCTGAATCTGATCACTTCTTACCACCTCTACCTGTCCCACCTGAGTCCAAGATGTCACCTCAGTGACTTTTAACTAGCCTCTGCTTCTGCTCTTGTCCCCAAACAGCTCATTCTTCCAACAACCAGAATGATCCTTTAAAAATACAAATGAGACCAGCCACTCACCTGCCAAACACCCCTGAATGACTTCCCTTCACAATTAGAATAATATGCAAATTTTACTTTAGCCTAAAATACCCTACATGACTTGGTGTTGTCTACCTCCCCAATCTCTTCTTGAACTTGACTGCCCCCTCCCTGTCTGTAGTTGAGCCGTACTGGCCTCCGTGATCTTCACTGAACAGGTCAGGCTGTTTCCCATCTCTGTACTCACTGTTCCCTCTGCCCAGAAAGCTCTTCTTCCTAGATCTTGCAAGCTTTGCTCTTCAGTCCAGTCAGGACTCTGCTCAAGTATCACCTCTTTAGACAGAATTTTCCTCACTAACCACTAAGGCAGGCTCTCTTTGTCTTTGTCACTTTCTAGCTTCTCATCTTGTTCAATTTTTGATAGTGCTTGCTGATCCTTGATTTTTCAGGATACATTCATTGGCTTATGGCTATCCTTTCCAAATGGAAACTTCTCATTGGCAAGAGCTTTTCTGCCCTGTTCATCCAAAGTGCATAGAATGAAGGGTCCACAAATACTTATTGAGCAAGTAGATGTGTGAATAAATGTGCAAAGGGGCTCAGGTAAAGAGTGTAATTTCTATAATTTCAAACTTGTGATGTATTTCCAGGAGTAGAGTAAGTGATTCTGACCAGCAGGCACAGTGGAAGGCCAGATGTTGGATTAGGAGAGCCTCTGTGGCAGCCCAGGACAGACATTTCTGCAGTGATAGAAATGACCTGTATCTCTGCTTTCTAAAACAGTAGTCACTGGCCACATGTGACTATTGAGCACTTTAGAGGTGGTCAGTGGGACTGAGGAATTGAGGAACTGAGTAAAAATAAAATTAATTTCATTTAATTTTAACTCACACTTAAATAGCTATCCAGGGCTGGTGGTCATGGTATTAGAACCTGAAGAATCCCTTCCCACGACCTGTGATTGCAGGGTAATTCTGCATACCTCACTGAGTTGTTGAGAAGACTAATGAAATAAAAAAACTTGGGAAAATGTCTGGAACATAAACGGTACAAAAAAAGAGTTGCTATTATTCCACAGAGTTGCAAAATAAAGTACTTTAAGTACATGTCATTTAAACTAGGCCGTAAAGCACTTGAAATGGACTTTTATTAATGCTTACCATGATGTTTTGTTTTGTTTAGAGTTTGTGGATAATCGATGTTTGGGTCTATATTTGAGCTTACAAACTAAAAATAGCACACAACCATTTTGGGATCTCATTGAAGGAGATAGATTACTCTTCTAAGTGGATCAGCTTGCCGATACTTATAACGAGCTAATTAATTTTGACAACAGCTAATGTAGCATCTGCAAAAATTGGATTTGTAACATTATGTGTACTGTATTATTTTCAAACAGTGTCAACTTCCTGGATAAAAGAAGTGTTTGTTTTAATATTTACTATTAAAATTAAAAAATAAGTATTTACTTATTGGAAACAAGATTAATTATTAAGGCTTACATTGGTTTGGACATAAAATCATTTTTCCTTAGTAGCTCACCATAATTCCTTCCATGCTGAATCCATAATATAAAATTAGCACAGATATAGAATATAAACAGACCATTAAACAAACCCTTAGGAATAACCTAATGCAATAATAAAATCACACATTTGTCCCAAATAAGCGTGGCACTTATTTTCAGGCCAAGAGAATTTGCATTCTGTAGCAGAGTGAAAATGACATTCCACCCTCAGCCTAAGCACTTGCTGGAGACTCTGAGAATAGAGAGAGCAGATGCATTTAAATTAAATACATGCTTATAGGCATAAAAGGCATAAAGAAAAGTTGACATTCTTATTAAAGAGACCAATTAATCTGCATCAGTTGGAAGGCACTTTACAGTTGAAAAAGTGCTCTAGGACCTAATATAAATGAGACTGGACTAGAAAGAGAATGAAAATTCACATTTCAACAATGGAAACTTGTCTAATTGCCCTAGAGCTGTGCTGTTTGAAATGCTAATCCTTCCTCTCCCAGACTGGGAGTTTGGGGTACCAGAAGGGGAGGAGGATGAAGACCCCCAAATGCTAAAGTGTGGGGTGGTCAAGACTTACCAATGGGCATCACTAAGAAAAAAGGCAGCCAGCAGAGGACGAAGCAGCCCACCACGATGCCCAGCGTTTTGGCCGCTTTCTTCTCCCGGGAGAACTTGAGGAGCCTCACCGAGAAGTGCGTCTTGGTCTTGGCGCTGGCCACCCCGCTGCCTCCTGCCGGGGCGTTTTTCCGATGGATGCGGAGCGTCACTTGCTCCGAGTCCGACTTGTCGGTCTTGAGGCCGGACTTGAGGCCCCGGCTCTCCCTCTTGGCCACCACATAGACGCGGCAGTACATGACCAGGATGATGGCCAGTGGCAGGTAGAAGGAGCCCAGCGCTGAGAAGAGCACGTAGCCCGGCTCCTCGTTGATCTGGCAGATGGTCTCGTCCTCCGGGGCCGGCTGCCTCCAGCCAAACAGGGGCCCGATGGAGATGACCAGGGAGAGTGCCCAGACGCAGAGCAGAGCCATGAGACCCCTCCTCTGGGTGACGATGGTGGGGTAGCGCAGCGGGTAGCTCACGCCGATGTAGCGGTCGATGGAGATGATGCAGAGCCCCATGATGGACGCCGTGCAGCACAGCACGTCCACTGCTGCCCAGATGTTGCAAAAGACCCTGCCGAAGGCCCAATAGCCTAGGACCTCGAAGATGGCAGAGAAGGGCAGCACCGTGGAGGTTAGTAGGAGGTCGGCCACCGCCAGGTTGACGATGTAGTAGTGAGTGACTGAGTGCAGGTGTCGGTGACAGGCCACGGAGAGGATCACTAGGATGTTCCCCAGCACCCCAAAAAGAATGAGGCCCCCCAAGATCACCCCGAGCAGAATGGCCTTGGAAATGTTCACCGGTGCCGGCGGTTGGGTGCAGTTGGAGCTGTCGGAAGCATTTCCGGAGAGAAACACCATGGTCCCAGCCGGGGCCGGGAGAGGTCCGGCTCTCCAGGGCCACCCCCGGGCGGGCGCGGAGGAGGGAGCGCGGGAGCGGGGAATCAAAAGGTCTCGGCTGAAGGGAGCCCTGCCAGCTGGGTTTGGCTGGGGGTGAGAGCGCGCGCGCGGGTGGGAAAAAACCCTGGCCAGCCCTGGGAACCCTCAGAAGGCCACGCGAAGGGGCAGGGCATGAAAGGCGACATGGCCAGGGGCGCGCGGGATGGTCAAGAACTCTCTCCACCTGCTGGGCTGGCCTGACCCGGGACCCCGACTCCTTCCGTACCCGAGGCTGGGTGCGAAGATAGAGGAGAGAGACTCCGTGCAACATGCAATCCAAGAATTATGAGAGTGAGAGTCTGCTTTTCCGTACTGTCTGACTCGTCCTGGTTGGGGGAAGATTCAGCATTATGCACATAATTCGGAATTCAAAACCCCAGCGCCAGCCTCCCCAGCAAACCAAAGGATCAGCCGTCGACGCTCAAAGGCAGGGACCTATGGCATCTGGGCGCTGCTCCCAGCCCGCAGTTAGCTACATTTTGAGCTGCCCCACCGAAGGCTCTTGCTCGCTGCAGCTTCTAGGTGCGCGGGGCAGGGGACGTGGATGTGAAATATGTGCCGAGACCCAGGCGGCTGTGAGCATCGTTTAACCGCGTCCACCTGAAAGAGCGCAAAGAGAAAGGCGGGCTGTGAGCTAGGCGCCCCAGGGAGAGAGGCCGTGCTCAGGTCGACGGGTTGCGAGACGCCAGCCGGGCGCAGGGCTGGTTCTGCGGTCCACAGGCCGCTTAGCCCCAATGCAGAGGAGGCGACTCCTGAGCGCATCTCGCGCCCAGACCACTGGGAACCTGCCTGGCGCGCTCTAACGCGTCACCTCTGCCGGAGTTCAGGATCCGAAGCGACAAACAAAAACAAATCCTCCAAACCCGAGGCTCCAGCGCTCAAAGGCTGGATTGCGTGAGTCGGTACCGCGAAATTAAAATCCCCGAAGCCACCGAGGGGCGATTGAGGCTGAGAGTGTGTCGCACCGACATAGCCAGGGAATTCCGAGGATGTGCTCGGTGTCCATTAGAACAGGTTGCCTCGCAGTCACCTGGAGGGGGCGGCCTGGGAGAGGGAACCGCTGCGACCCAGGGACCGCAGGGCCACGGCCATGCGCACGCTCACGCTCACGCCAGTGAAATTCTCACTCGAGTGTGCAGGGCACGCTGGTGTGTCCACCAGCCAAGCAGTCCTGAGAGCCAGGTCCCAAGCAAAGCCAGGAGAGACCAGAGCGCTGAACGCGACCCAGGTCTGTCCACGTTGCCTTTGCAATCCTCACCGTTGGCCACCCAAAGGGCTCCGGCTCCAAACCGCAGCAGGACTGCCGGGGAATGTCGGGGGGAGGACGTTCCTCCGCAGAGAGAGCTTTGCAAGGGACAGCCACTGCGGATTTTGCAGGCTTAAACATTAAGCCGGCATGCCAGCGGGTGGGGGCCGCCTTGCATTTTCTGGTCCGGGGGCCACCTGCTACACAAGAAAACTGGGTTTCCACAACTGCGTACCGACCGCAGGCACTTGGCAGGCGTGAGAAAGTGCCCACCTTGCTTTCTGGGATTGGGCCCTGAGGCGGGACCTGGGGCAAAAAGACTTGTTAAAATCGCAGGTTCTCTGGGCCCGGTGGCTCACGCCTGTAAGCCCACCACTTTGGGAGGCCGAGGCGGGCGGATCACGAGGTCAGGAGTTCGAGACTAGCCTGGCCAACACGGGGAAACCCTCGTCTCTAGTAAAAATACAAAAAATTAGCCGGTGTGGTGGCACGCGCCTGTAATCCCAGCTATTTGGGAGGCTGAGGCAGGAGAATCGCTTGAACCGGGGAAGGTGGAGGTTGCAGTGAGCCGAGATCCTGACACTGCACTCCTGCTTGGTTGACAGAGTGAGACTCTGTCTCAAATTAATTAATTAATTAATTTTAAATGCAAGTTCAAGATCTCACAGGTGGTATCAAAAACGTGCCATTGCAGAAACCCTTTTCCTCCTACCTCGGGTGATCAACACAGGGTTAAAAGGACACTTGTTAAGTAGAAGGCAACTTCGCAGAATATGTAAGGGAATCGGAGGTGGCGTGGGGGGGACGGTATAAAATCTAGTGGAAAAAGCCGGAGGCGCTGGGAAAAGTGGGGATTCCTTTTCTCCAGACGGCGGGGGTGGGGGGGGGTCTGCCCTCACCCACTCGGCCCTGCGGGACGCTGGCCCAGCGCACTTACCTTGAAGCGCCGCTGCTGAACCACCGGCTCCCGCGCTGGGGAGGCGGACCCGGCTTCGGTCCCGCGAACTGCCTGCTTGCTCTTCTCTGGAGGCGGAGAGAGGGGACCGTCTCTCGGAGAAACCAAATCCTTGTCCTTTTGCACCCGCTGACTCACCCCTCCACCACCAATGTCCCTAAGCTCCTGGCCCTCTGTCACTTTACCTGCATTAAAAAAAAAAAAAAAAAAAAAAGTCAAAATAGGAAAAGAAAAAAAAAAAATACAGATAAGCGATAACTCTACAATCACCCTTTTAATACTCAGCTCCCCGACACCAGAAAAGAATGGCAAGGAACTTTGCAGCTCTCGCTGACGTAACACAGGCAATAGCCCAGCTAGTACCGTAATCTCCTGCTGCTGCCGTATTACTCTAAGGCAACAGGCATAAGTGTTTCTACAGCTGTAATGTTTTCTTCCTGCCTAGAGGGGGTTGGGTTCCAACGTTTCTTTAAAAAGGGGTGTGTGTGTGTGTGTGTGTGTGTGCGTGTGTGTGTGTGTTGTGCGCGCGCGCACGCGTGAATGTGTAGAGTCATTTGTAGTAAATAACTTCTTTAAATGGTCTGATTTTAAAAATAAAGCAAAATTGACGCCCTTGCTAGATATTGCTGTGTGTATGATGTATTCAAAGGAAATGTGCTACAAAGTAACTTTGAACAGCTTGATTTGATTAACATTTGGCCTAGGCTTTGTCAAAAATCAAGAAGCATATTAAGAATATTGTTATTCCAAATATGCAAGTAAATTATAAGGTATTTTAAATAGCAAGTAAAATCAGATAAATTTGATAAATCGGATTGTAATGAAATTATATTTTCAGGAAGATAAAGTGAACATATCTAAGCCTTATTTAATATGATCCACTTCTAATTTCTTAAGACAAATGAATTTTAAGAGAATTATGGCTACAGGGTTTAGTATTTTTTAAATGCCACACATTCTTTTCCAATTTTCTTGAAAAAATGATAACCTTTTAGGAATGCTACTTCTCTTTAATTAATTAATAGCTGGAATATGAAAAGCTGGTACCACCATTCTTATTACCTTTTCCTTGTAAATTCCATACTTTGTTTACCTTGTGATTGAATAAAGTCATATGTGTTTCAGGATATTGGAAACATACAAAAGTTTTTCCCACTCTGATTCCCACCACCTAAGTCATCTTCTTTCATCTTTATTGATTCAAAGTTGAATGTTCTTATTTACTACATCCTCTTAAACTTAGGAACAAAGAGATAACTATAAGCAGTGGTGTGCACTTAAATTCCCTCCTGTGAACAAAATGACATTAAAATGATTAACTTTTCTAAGTAGGATAATATTTGGGAGACTCTTTTATAGCAATAAATCTCAAAATGCTTTAGAGGAATGCCCATGAGAGGGTCAGGGAGTCTTATGTTATTGAAGACCTAATATTTATGTTTCTTTCTCTATTGTATACAAAATCCTCCACCTCTGCCTCACACCTATAGGGTCAGAACTCACAACTAACACATTTGATTTGAATTTGTTATTATTATTTTTTGAGGTGGAGTCTTGCTCTGTTGCCCAGGCTGTTGTGCAGTGGTGCGATCTCAGCTCACTGCAACTTCTGCCTCCCAGGTTCAAGCAATTCTTCTGCCTCAGCCTCCCAAAGTGCTGGGATTACAGGTGTGAACCACCATGCCCGGCTGAATTTAATAGTTTTTAAAATGGAATTTTGTGCCATAGGAGGAGCATCCTGGTTGAGCAGACAGCTCCCCCTCTGATTACTAGGTCACCTGCTGTCTCTGAGATTCAGTCCCTTTAGGAGGAAGCTTGACCTCAATTCCCTGCACTTCTAGTACTTTATCATCAAATATGTATATAATGTCTGTGCTTCAGAAATCCCATCCATCAGAGAGATATACACTATTTAGTTTCATATTCATTAATCTGATACCATGAATGCAAATTCTTCATTAAGATGTGTTCCATGGTAGATAAGGGAAGGAGTGTTACCAGCAAGAAAAGCAACTGAAAATTGCTAAGCTCTGCAAGGTCAAAATTATAAAGGTCTTTGTAACTCCCAGTCCCCACTTTCCTACAGTTAGGAATACACATAATCCACCCCTGCACCCACGTCCAACAAATAACTAGTTAGTGCCAAGATAGGGAAGAGCAGCTCTTCATGCTGCTAGCAGGTGGGTCTTTCAAAGCTCCTTCTCAGCCTGCTTCTTTGCAAAACGAACTCTCGGAACCAATTTTTCAGTCACCTACCATTGATTCACAAACAGGAAACTATCCATCTGTTGGTTACTGTTTAAGAAATGGTTGACATGGACATCCCAGAAGGTGTCTGATTTGGATGCATGGGTATGTGAAGTGAAGAGGAGTATGCTCTGGGGTCATAAAGATGCTATTCTGATCCTCCTGTGAGACCATGGCAAAACCTTGGCTTCCTAATTTTTAAAGGGAGATAATGAACTTCCACAAGCTTGTTATTAGGGTTGAAAGAAATTATCTTTCTCCAAAACTCAGCTCATAATGCTCACAACTCTATTATTAATCTTATTAACTCCCTTTCTTCTCATTTTATGTGTTACTTCATAGTGAAATATATTTCTAACCTAGGTCATCCATGAACACTGGTAAATTTAGCTGGAGGATGTGCTAAGTGTCTTGAGGGTTGCACTTGAGCCAAATGGTGTAATCAGAATAATCCAATGTAGCTGAGTTGGGAGAGCTGGCCCTAATCACTGGCTACTTCTTTTCTTCCCACTTTCCCCATTGTCCTGTGTCTTGAGGGGCCACGGAAAAGTGTGGGAACACTCAGCCCATATATCCAGAAAGTTGCCTTCTTGGCCTTGGGCCTTGGGGTACACACACTTGTGATGTTGTCAGCCCAGAGAGGATGGTCCTAAAAGTGATTGTGTGGCCATGTGGGGCAAGGGATCTGAGTCTCAGGGCATGGTCTAGAAGGGAGAGCATAGGCTCCAGGTGGGCATATCGCATTAGTCTTGTGGCCCAAAGGAGTCAAATCTGGGCTTCTAAAGCCTGAAACCCTAGCCAGGGATGTTTTTTGTCTTGATCTGAGGGTGATACTTTGAAGACTTCAGGTGTGATGGAAACTGAAGGATCCACTGAAAGAGTGGTTGTGGAAAGACTCATAAAATGATATTCCTTGATTTAGGATTTGTGGAATCAACAGGATTGAGATTTTTAGACAAAAGTGAGGACGGTGAACTATTAGCCACCGCATTTTAGAGTGATGTGTGTGTGTGTGTGCACACACACGTGTGTGTCAGGAATGCTAGAGGAATGAGTCTGATTGGAGAAGGGCTGAGCAATGAACACACACCTGTGTGTTGACTGGCAGGACTTTTCTTTTTCTTTTCTTTTTTTTTTTTTTTTTGAGACGAAATTTCACTGTTGTTGCCTGAGCTGGAGTGCAATGGCATGATCTCAGGTCACCGCAACCTCTGCCTCCTAGGTTAAAGTGATTATCCTGCTCAGCTTCCCGAGTAGCTGGGATTACAGGCATGCACCACCATGCCTGGCTAATTTTTTGTATTTTTAGTAGAGACAGGATTTCTCCATGTTGATAAGGCTGGTCTCAAACTCCCAGCCTCAGGTGATCTGGCCAGATTGGCAGGACTTTCTTAGTGACCAGTGAGGAAGTCAGCAAGTGTGGTAGAATTAGGGTTTTAAAAAATAAATAATCTATCATTCTCTTAGAAAACAATACATAGTGAAATTAGGAGCAGTGTTCTGGAATTGATGATTACAAATGACAGAGTAGAAGTATTAATGTTAGTATCTACCCAAAAGCCCTGGCTTTTCAACTAATTCTCCTAAGGCTTAAGACGTTAAGGAGGGAATAAAATGAAAAATATTTCTCAGAAAGATATTGATGCAGTATCGAGTCACAGTCCTCTAAAGAAGGATTGTGTTCTAATCCTTTATCGAACTGAGAACACTGCACAGCACACAGACACTGCTGAGGGATCTCTTTGATGAGATAATAATTCTGTCTTGGGCATCATTTGTCCAAATTCTCATCGCCCCGAGAAAATAACATAATCCAAGTTTTGTGAGTCATGCCACTCCCCATCCCTACATTGTGGGAATATTGTGGTAGGAATATGGGGTCAAGTCCACCTATAGCTGATCAGCAAATGATTCCTTGGGAAAAAAAAAAGACTGCTCTTGCATAGCAAATCTGAGCTGACACATATCAATCAAATTCTGGAAATATGTTTGTCAATATTACGTGGAAATGGAAGTAAAAGAAAGTCAGTATGCGTACCAAGTGCAGACACATTTTTACCTTATCTTTATTTGCTGATGGACTGTTACAGGCACATTGAAATGCTTATTGACTTGTATTTAATTATAAAATTTGTGCTCATAATAGCACATTTGGAAAAGTCAGAAATGTAGGAAAATAAAAGTTACCTGTAATCCTGCCACTGGAAAAATAGCCACTGTTAAATATTTGTCATATTTTCTCATTTTTTGCTAATGTGTATAAATTATATACATGGATAAATATATATACACACATACATGCCAGGAAATATTTTACATACATGTATTTATTATGTATGCCTATATTTCATTATTTCATAAATTATACATTGTATACATTATATAAAATAGGGTTATCATACTTTACCCATAGTTATATATCTTACTTTTCCACTTACATTATTTCATGAACTCATTCTATTATTACATTTATACCAAAACATAATTTATAAGAGCTCCACAGTGATTCTTTTCTATGTATATGCCATTGTCTGAATGTTTGTGTTCTCCACAAAATTTGTATGATGGAACCTAACTTCTGAGGTGATGGTATTAGAAGGTAGGGTTTTTGTGAGGTGATTAGGTCATGAGGGTTCTACCCTCAGGGATGGAATTAGTGCCTTTATACAAGAGGAAGCCTCTTTGCCCTTCTGTCATGTGAGAACATGTAGAAGGCAACATCTAGGCAGAATTGGCCCTCGCCTAGCGCCAAATCTTCTGGCATTTTGATCTTGGACTTCTCAGCTTTCAGAGCAATACATTTCTTTTGTTAATAAATTATCCAGTCTAAGGTATTTTGTTATAGCAGCTGGAACAGACTAAGACACTATATGTTATGATAAATTAAATATTTAAATTTTCAGGCTTTAAAAATTTCTTATCTATAACTTGAACTGTGATAAATACTTTTATCTGTTTATTATTTTAAGTTCTGGGATATATGTGCAGAATATGCAAGTTTGTTACATAGGTTTACATGTGCTGTGTTGGTTTGCTGCACCTGTCAACCCGTCATCTAGGTTTTGGGCCCTGC